CAGGGAAGTATGGCTTCTCAACATTGTTTGTTATAGGCCATTGTTGAGACCAGGCTTCAAAGAACCATCCCAGCAAACTATCAGGACAAGCTCCAGGCATCGTGGCTAAAACATTAAATCCTAAGTTCTGTATGACTATCCCCAAATCAGTGGATACTCCTCCTTGAGCTCTGCTTCACTCCTGTCCTCAAATATAATATCTTCAAGTTCCACTCCCCCACATACTTCCACACTTCCTGCCAGTACACAGTAGCCAGGTCCTGCAAATATCTCTGGCAGGTACGCTTTTACTCCCTGTAGCAGGGCGTTTTCTTCCCAGTGTGGGCTACAACTGGAATTGGGGAATTGGTGGAGGCAACAAGGGGTGAGGGTAGGTCTCGAGGAGAACAAGCGGTGGCGAAGGGGATCTTCTTTGGGCAGGAGAATTCAGAGGACTTGAAGGATCAAGGTGCTCATCACCACAGCATCCCTATTTCAAGCCTCAGGGGCCCACTCTCCGTATCAGGCTCTGACTTTGCCATCAAAGCCTGTGAAGGTCATGCCTTTAGTATCCTTTGTTACCCTGTGTCCAGGTCCTGGGCTTGATTTGAAGAGTCCATCCTATGTCTGCAGGGAATAAGGCTCTCCCTTAAAGTTGCCATGGAGGCATTCTGGCTTCCAGAACATTCCAAGATAATTAACTGCTTTGAGCCTGTCATTGTCTGTTTCCCAGGTCTCTGGTACCTTATGATTATCATTGTTTCCAAACAAATTAAGTGCCACAGCTACTTGATCTCCCAATGTCTTACTCTCCACCCAATGCATACCAATTAAACACAAGTGACAGCTGTGGTTATTGCATATCAGAGTTATTACCATTTCTCTTATCACCAGCAAAGGGGTTTTTATTGAGCCAGAGACAGGTAGGCAAATACAACCCCAAAATCTGTCCTGAGGATTTGGTTTCTAGAGCCATTGGTGGCACCAATTGTCTGAGTTCAGTTTCCCTAAGAAGCAGAATCTGAAGCAAAGATTAGAGAAAACAGAAACAGAATCTGAAGCAAAGATTGAGAAAGCCCCAAGAGTGAGTGAAAAGGGAAATGAGGTAGGTTAGGATGAGAAGCAGTGCAAGGTGGTGTGTCATCATGCAGGTAACTGCTTCACGACCAGCTGTGAAGAGGCATGGCAGGTTACTCGGTAGGTATGTCTGCTCAGCCATGCAGGACATCTCCAGACAGGCTGGGGTGGAAAACTATGACTCGGGGCAGCTCACAGGAGGGAAGAAGGAAAGAGAATTCATCTGTTCAGCTCCCTCCCACCTCCTGTTTCTCACTGGTCAAATCGCTCCCCTCAGGGAATTAATTTCCTTGGATGCGTCTAGCCCCTTGGATAGCTGCTTAGAAGCCACATCCTGTAGTGTGGCATTTCCTCTGAGTCCAGAAGTAGTGAAAGAGTCAGAGGCTCCAGACGTGTGGCTGGCCAGCCTGGCTATGCGACAGCATCCAAGAGGAACTTGGCTGGGCAAGTGACTAGTCAGTCTCCGGAGGCTGAAGTGCACGGATTTAATTGGCTGTGGAGGTATCTGTGGAGCCAGCAGACAGCCAAGGTCTAGCCAATGCGAGGAGGCACATAAGATGTGTCTGATACGCACATTACTAGGCTATGTAACAACAAGTGGTGGAGCGAGAAAAATAATCAGCAGGTCAGGATTCTGTCTTATTTACCTTTGAGACCCCAGCAGCTGGCACTTGAAAAATGAAATGCTATTTAAACCCAGTTTTTCTTGTTCTAAACTTTCCCACTACACATCTCTGCTATACCAGTCGTTATGCCAATGAACAGAAGTGACTGTGCTCCCAGAGGCTGAGCATGTAGTTACCGGGTGTCCCTATTCAAGTCACAAGTTGGCCCTGTCCCACTGTGTGCATATGCCACTCCTACTAGCTACCTGAGCTTTCAAAACCCATCATCTGTCAGGCCTGGGGTCATTTGAGTGTGATGTAACACAAAACACACAGGGAAAGGCAGAACAGAGTTGGTTGGCCCATGCAACGAGCACAGCTCTCAAATGCAAAAGAATTGTGAACAAAAGAGCTCCTCTGCCTCCCAGTCCCTTCACTGGATAGCACAATTCACTTCAGAAGCCTTCTCACCACCTTTTGGGAAAAGTAGCCCAATCTCATAGTTCTCTTCATATGTCACTTGGTTCCCCACTCCCAAGGAAGATAAGAACAGACAGTTGGAATATTAAAGATGAACCTCCAAAGCTTCTCCCTGACTGTCAGGGCGTCCTGAGGTGCCTGCGGCAGGAAGATGAACCCATAACCCTCTCTGGTCCCTAGGATTTTGATTCGGGCAAAGCAGGACCCAGGCCTTGGTTTAACACGGTAATTGTAGATGTTTGGACTTGGCCTGAGTCGGACACTGGGAATCAGTGCCAGGGAAGGTGACACTTGCCAGACATTCTGCGATGTTCACCAACTGGTCTGATCACTTGAGCTTTGAGAGCTCAGTTTTCTCCTGAGGGATTGCGAGGCCAAATTCTCATCCTCTGCCTACAGGTCTTCATGCTGAAATCCTAGTCTCCTGGACTTGAAACTCCAGGGAACTGTGGAGAAAGGGTTGGATCTGAGAGATGAGGGAGGAAGGATGTTTGAGATGAGAAAATAGATCGCTTGCTGTGGCATGTTTTCTTTTAATCAGGAAATGAAAACTGAGGCAATTATATGGTGAGAGGATCGTTTTTTTCCCCCAGCTTCCTGATGTTTTTCAGGTGTGCTTATTCCACTTGAATGATTCAGGTAATTTCCTGAATAAGCCTGTTTCCTTCATCTCTGTGGACCTAAGTTATTATTCTCATTGTTGAATCTATAAGGTCCTAGGCATGGGCTCTGTCTGCAGTAATGCAGGTCTGGAGTCCAGGTCTCCGCACCCAACCCAAGTCTTGGCTCTCAGCTACACTCCAGGGGCCTCTGTTGGCAATGGCCCTTCACCACACCTTCCCATGAAAGAGAAGTTCCAGAAACAGATCTGTCATCAGTGACTCTTTGACAGTTGCATTCTTAATTCTAGGTTAACTTAGTATTGCTATCACAACTGCTTTGCCTTCTCAAATCTGGCATGCTGGCTTGGAGTGTAAAGGGAGAGGATATTATGGCTGGGTTCTTAAGTGCCCATGAGAGAGGAAGTCAGAGAATCACAGAACCTGAGAGTCAGAACAGACCTTGGAGAGTGAGGGGTCTGCTCTCCTCTTTTCAGAAAGAGAAGCAAAGGCCCAGAACAGGCAAGTGTCTTGTCCTGGGTCACACAGCTTAGCCAAGTGACAAACCTGGACTTAGAGCCAGCCCTCAGGTCAGTAGTTCTGGCAGTCTTCCCACCTCACGCTGCTCTTCTCTTTATTTAAAGGGGGCGGGGCTGGGAAGAAGCCTTTAAGGAAAAGGTTCTTCAGTGGAGAGTGCAGAAGGGCGTCCCACTTCACTATGGCTTTGAAGCCTCGCTCCATCACCACCTCTAATTCTGTAGCTGTGTCAGAACAGTCAGGGCCTGGCTGGCTTCTCAGGTTTTACTGTTGCATATTCAGCTTGGGTTTAAAAGGACTTTATTAATCATGACTAACGTCAAAGGGTGGATGCATGACTGTGCCCCCTTTTCAGCTTTGGGGAGTTTGTAATGCGGGATTAAAAAATAAAAAAGATTTAGTTTTGCACCTTCATGTGGGCAGCCCCTGCCTGAACCATCCATTACCTCCTGGTAGCGGATGTCTAGCCTTCCTCAAAGGAATGATGCTCTAACGACTAGCCGTCCTTTACCTCGGGGTCACTTCTCCTGTGACTTTACTTCTCCTCTGCTTCCCACAGTTGCAAACCCTTGCAGTGTCACGACCCCTGGGGAAACTCGGTCTTAATTCTCTTGGACAAGCGCTGCAGCCTCGCAGGGCTCCCAGGACAAGACTGCGATCGGATTTCGCGTGGCAGCGCAGCTCCCTCCCGCCCCGGAACCCCCAGAGCCAATCAGAGCGTCGCGGAGCTCTGGGTTGTAGAGTCCCGAGCCCGGGACCCGCCCCTCTTTGTTGCGGTGGCCAATGGACGCATTCGGAACATCGGCGGCTGCCCGGGTGACTCGGTTATATGTCACAGAATAACATTCGAGAATGGGACTTGGAATGAGGGGACGGCCGCAGCAGCCCCAGCAGCCCCCGCCGCCCCGAGAGGCGCCGCAGTAATGAGGCCGAGCGTCCCAAGGTAAGGTCCTGGGAGCTGCGGCGCCCTTCCCGCGCCCCGCCTGCAGCCGGTTCCCCCCGGGCGCCTGGCGCGGGAACTCGGGGAATGGGGGCGGGTGGAGCAATTTCCACTGTAGCCTGGGGGCTCCGGGAGGGCTCCCTGGAAGAAACGCGGCTGCCTTTGCAAACCCAGGCTTCTGCTGCGCCCTCGCGCCGACCTCGGGCGCTCACGTGCCGGCACGTTCTCGGCTGGCTCCGCGCTCGGCCACATCTGGCGACCAAGCAATATGTGGAGGCTTGCAGGGACCTCCTGTTCCTTCCCGCTGCACGAGCTGCCTTTCTTCCTCCTACCCCGTCCACTCCGCTTCCTCCACGCTCCTTCATTTCCCTGCTGGTGTTTAGGTGTGCGTGAAATTTGTGGCAAAATTCCAGTTGCCTTTCGAGGTAATTGCAGGGCTGGAAGCTCGTATTCAAGTCCTGGGGTGTGTGTGGGGGTGTCTGTCAGCTCGCGCGCGGGGTGTGTGTGCAGTGACGTGGGGACACTCCGAGGCCCCACCGCCGTTGGACACGGTGCCTCAGGGTGTCCACTTACCGCGGTGTGTGCTGTGTCTTCACTGATTGCAGGTACGGCCCATAGCGGAGCTCCCGCCGCCGCTCCCCCTTGGCGCGTCCTGCGGCAGCGCAAGGCATGGAGGAGGCGGCCCCCGCGGGGCGCTGATCCTCTCGCCGCGCCCGCACGCACAC